TGGTATCCTCTTCTATCTGCCAGGAATCCTTTCGTTCCATGAATCTTTCAACAGCTTCATCAACGACAGTATTCAGACCAACTCCTGGGGGACCAGAAACCATAAACATTCCATTTCCAGAGGCACTTTGTGTCGTACCATTCAAAAGCAAAGTTTCCTCATTTTTGAATCCTTCACTAAATCTGGCAGATAATATAGCGGAATATTCTGGGCGTGCCAGTTTCGTTTCTGATTGATTGAACGAGTGAACACATCGACGGGAAACCCTTCGCAACGCTTTCGTCGCAACACAGGTCAGCAAAAAAAACTTTGTGGTTGCCATGAAAAGGTGGCTGAGGTGAAGTATTACAAAACGCCTCGTATATGTGTGAGAACAACTCAACGTCTATTCATCAACCCAAGTGAATGAAACCCACAAAATCATTCGTTCTTCCCAATCAAAGCAGTCTCCTACAACTGAAGATATGGCATGGAAAGAATTATCTTTACCCATGAATGCATATTCAACCAAGTGTACATGTAAGAGAAATAAAAACTGTCCGTTCAATGTATATGATATATAAATTGGAGATTATTTGTGGCATGTATGTTCAAACTATCAACACGTCAATCACGGACTCATCGATGATATGATTGATAAAATGGCTGTCATTTGTCACTTTGAATTTTATTCTTTTCAAGTAATATGAACTGAAAGTGTTGTGTGTATTCTCTCTTTTGATACCTTTCTTAGGAATTCCAATCCCAGTCCTACCACTCTCTCTCTCTTCCCCCCCCCTCCTCCAAAAAGAAGGAAAATTTAAAAATCTAAGGCGAACCCGCCATAAATTATTTGGGTCAAGTTGAGCTCTTTCAAGGATTGTCATTGTACGTATGCCAGCATAGCAACTGAAGAAAAGATAGCAAATGCCTCGCACTGGAAAGATCTTGTCTCGTTCGGTCGTAGGAGGTGACCGAAACCGAAGAGAATCAAAACTCATGAAAGCTAGTCAACCTCGTAAGCGTTACTTGAAACCTCGTATTCCATCTGTTGAAAAGTGGACAAGCTTCTTCTACAGCAAAAAATTCAACGGGTGTCAAAGCACATAGATATCGTCCAGGTACGAGAGCTCTAATGGAAATCCGCAAGTTTCAAAAGAGTACGGAATTGTTGATTCGCAAGTTACCGTTTGCTCGTCTGGTACGTGGTTTTAAAATAGACCCGGGAATCTGGGTTGAACACTTCATGTCCACTTAGGTAAAGGAAATAACTCAACACTATCACCATGAACTTCGTTGGCAAGTTGAAGCAGTCCTAGCTCTTCAAACAAGTGCTGAGGACTATCTAGTTGGTTTGTTGGAGGTAAATATGATGAAAAGTTTCATGCTTTGATTAATAGAATGTAATATTAGGATGCTAATTTATGTGCAATACATGCTAAAAGGGTCACTATAATGCCAAAGGATATGCAATTAGCAAGAAGAATCAGGTAAGAATGTATAAACTGCAAGAGAAGATGTCTCATTTTGATCTATGATAGGGGATATCGTGATGACCCACACGCTTTCATGTGATATCGCTCTATTGTGAGTCTGTAAATCTCGAATTTTGACTGAATAGACTGGAAAATAGTCACTTTTGTGAATGAATACTTTGAATAAATTCTTCCAATCAAAAACATGAAACAACATATAATGACAATCAACAAATATACTCTATTTACACAAACTATAATGCATGAGTCATAAAAAATCTCTTCTATCGAGCAACCTAGAACGTTTTCGAACCAACAGTAGACACAACGATTTCCCATCTCGCTCTTTGTAATATGAACATTTCTTCATCGCTTCATGAACTTACTCTCACTAAAATATTTATCCAACCAAGGACGATCATGAATGAATTTATCCATTCAATTAGACTCGGAACATTGCATCGAACAACTGGAAAACATTGAAGACAATGCTGCTAAACAATCGGAAGTTTCCTCACCAAGACATAATTCTTCCGCTCCATCATCTTGTACCCATTGCGACTGTTCAGCAACCATGTTCTTTTTGACTGATTCAAACTTAACCTCATTGACCTCCAAGAGTTCTACAGACGGAGTGCTAAAAAACTGATTTGGGTGCTTCATGACATTTGAAACATTGCCGACACAGTCCTTTAAAAATGAAGGATCACGAGAAACTCGTCTAGAACCATGATTTGGTCTTCTCAATGGCAAATGTTGTTCAGTGGCAACATCCGCAACAACATGTCTTTCACAAGTATCAGGAAATAAGCGTCGCCTTTCATTCATTTGACTTGCATTCATGGTTTCTACATAACAGAATGCGGTGTCCGGAACAAGATTAGGCAAAGAAGGGTCAAATACCGATATACTATCCCATAAATGATAAGATGTAGAAGAACTATCCTCGAAGTTGATCTTATTCCAACTTTCCTCGTTCCATATTGAGGAGATCTCGTCCAATTCTAACATTGATAGGTCTAAATTAGAACGAGAGCGCTGACAGTGACGCTCAGAATTCTTCAAACTAGCATTTTTTGGAGCCAAGTGATGATGCTGTGTCGTTTCTGTTGAAAAGTTATTTTTCTCGCCATGTTGACGATTAGGATGACTGTATTTACATTTCTTACCATATGGACATCTGCCAAATTGTAAGAAATCAAAACATTCACGTCTAGATAAGGCTTTGACCAGAGTTTGATCTCTTGGAGGGTGATTATACTTGCATTTCGTTCCGTAACTGCATTTCCCTGTCTTAAGATAATAGATGCAATCTGGGCGGGATCGTCTAATGGGATACTTGTATGAAGAGTTCAATTGGTTGTCCTCACTGTTCACCAAATTACTTGTGAGTGTCACACGAGATGCTTGACTAGCTTGGGTCTCAGAAGAATCTGATGAAAGCGTCCAATCTGAAAATATTTCATTTGCACTATTACAACCAAAAGAATTTGGAGTTGTCGATACTAGAGACGTAAACGGATTCTGAATTTTTTGCTGGGAACCAGTGCCACCCAATTTGGAGTCTTCATGCTTGCTCAATGACAAATAGTCCAACGAATGATCAGGATATGAAAACAGATAGGATGAATCATCTGTAAATCTTTTGTCCTGTTGGAATACAATTTCCGATATGGATGAAAGTGAATTGCTTGAATGAGTATAACGCAACCTTTCATTCCAATCTTCATGGATATCATTATATGGTTTCATTCCATGTTTTTGCAAAGTGCTTGTCCCGTTCAATGTATTTCTCCAATGAGTAGTTTCTGAAAGAGTCTTATCTGTTTCCGATAGTCCCTTGCCATTCGAGAAGTCTCTTTCTACTGAGCGAAATAAGAAGTTTACATTAGCGCCACTCAAAGCGTGGCTATTATTCGACATAAGGGTTGTGAAAAACTTTCAATTAGTGTCGCAATGAAATAGAGCTTCAAAGTCCTTGAAGGAGATAGATCCCTTTAAATACCTAGGGACGCCCTTTGCGCCAAAAAAGGATAATATTCAGTACTACCCAAAACCTTTAAAACCTCGGTAGACCACTAAAGATGGGTTATTTCGTTATTCTTGAACTAGACGAGAAATGGACGGTTCGTACGGGTCAAAAAGGTTTAAGAAACCAACTAAAATGCGATATCAACAGTTCTCGAGACGAAGCTCAACTACAACCCAATTCAAATATCCATCTGCTCTGAATATTCCATCTATTCTCATTTTTAATTTTACAAAAAAAATGCCTTTTGGTAAACATGGCGCCCTTTCATTCATTGGCATTTTTTTTACTAATTTTGGTAATCTCAAGAATTTCTTGACAACTCGTCAAAATTTCAAATTTTACGAGTGCCCAGAATCTTTGATTTTCCAAAGAAAGTTAAAACAAGAAGACCCTTGTATTCCTTGACAAACAATGAACTGGTTATAACTTAAAACTTTCTCTGGGAAACAAACATCGTGTCATCTTCATTTACGAAATTTAAGCCTATATTTTGTAACCACCTCTCAGGTCAAGCACTTGGGGACCGTCATGTCCCGCGATATGGTCATCGGAACTCACCATGCTAGATGACAACTGTGAGTTCTCCATGTCATTCCGAAAACTACTTGATTGGGAGTCTCGGAAAGAAGGAAGCGAAGAAAGCCTGGCAAATGAAACATTTTCTGCCGTTGCTGAAGCTTCCACTCCTTCTTGCATTTGTGTCTGGGCAAGAGGATAAATTCCTGCTGCATTCTTCAGAGTAAACCCTTCCTGTAAAAAGGTGTCGAATGACTCAAAGAAAAGCAACAAGCTGTAAATGAAAGACAAGTTTCTAACGTTGTCATCCGGTTTTAGTTCTGGTGGACCATTGATAAATTCATCCGAAATCTTACTCTCATAACCTTGATCAGTCTTTACATTGTCGATCACTGATGTTATATCATTCCACTCCTCGGGAGAATGACTTTTTGCAAAAGCCCACATTTTGGCTCTCCAGTTTTGTATAATCTTAAGTCGCAAATGTTGATAATTCAATAGCAAAAGTTTCCGACATTGAAGAAAGTTTTCGCGTGCCAGCAAGATACGTGCTGGTGGAGGCCTTTCTTTTCGGCGAACACTAAAATGTTGTATCACAGTCTCGTATCCACTATCTACTGCATCCATAACATTTGTGAATTCAGGTTCCAAGTGACAGAGATATGCACGCCAAATAGAGTCGGAAAATTCTCCAGTTAAAGCAGGTTTCGACGATATAACAGCGAAGAGATGAATGAATCGACGATACATGGAGGATAGAGACTCGAGCATTTTAGGAAGTGAGTCATGGGCGACACTAAGAGAGGGATCTGCCTTTAAAGTAGCGCGAACACGACCAAGAAGAGATTTGATCTTATTCATGCTCTGACTAGTCTCTTCATTCACTTGGAAAGCGGTCTTCAAGGGAGCTTTGTTAATTTCCAAGAATATGGAAACAATATGACGAAAAATTTGTCTTTCTGTTGATGCAACTTCAATCAATGTTTTCCTCACCTCTTCTGCTGCACGATGAGGCCATAAAACAAGAGCAATGATACCCGTAATCCCACAACCTGCAAAAACACTGATTGTTCTTGAAGCAGGATAAACAAAAGTGAATTTTGGTAACCAGTACTGACAAGATATTATGAAGTATTCCGAAAAAATGAACGCTAGACAAACGACTAGATAAGGAGGATAACGTACTGCAAAATTGGCGACAACAAAAGTCCAGAGTCCCAACCAAACAGATAGAATGTAAGGATTATGACCTGCAAAGACGGTTGCGGCATATGCTAAAGCAGAAGAAACGATAGTTGAGGCACAATACAAAACAATTCGAAACAGCGTCAACTCTATTCCTCTCATAAACATAATAATAACCATAATCATGGCAGCCAATGCGTTATAAGTTTCCATGAAATGTTGTTCAGCAGCAGAAAATTGAGCAGCAAAAATGATAGGAAAACCAACTATAGCGATAGTTAAGGTATGTTTGAATAGAAATTTGAAATTATTTTGATCAGTAATCATTCCAAATAATCTCTTAAAGTTAACAAAAGGACGTAATAATTCTTTCACCCAACTTAACCAGTTCCTTAAGGGCGCAAACTTGTATTCTGTTCTTTTCTTCTCCAAGTCACAAATAGAAAGATGAACGTCTTCAATACATCGCTGCAGACTACGAAGACCAAGCGAGAAAAATAACATCGATATGGCTTCAAACGCTTGAGGAAAGCTATTTCTGTCAAAGATATGATCATTTCTCCAATATCTTCTCAATAAAACAAGACTCTCTTTGGCTATTTGTTCTCTAAGTTTGAATTGAATATTACAGGAAGAGGAATGATGCCCTACTTTAACCTCTGTTGCCAAACATTTGATCTCCTGACAAATCTCTTCGAATCTATCCTCAAAAGAAGTAGGATTGGAACCGCATAAACGTTGGAATGAATTGGGTGTTATGCCATATCCTCTTCGAATGACTCCAGAAAAAGCTTCAAGATTCACTAAAACATCATCAACTTTTTCTGTCAATATTCGCCACTCTTTAACAGGTTCTGCTCTCCACGGAGGATCGATACAAGGCTCAAATGGAAGATAATTAATCAAGACCTGACAAAAATACAAAGTTTTTTGTAAGTTTTGACTTTCTTCAATTATTCTGGAAGGAATTTCTGATGATTCCTTGCTCCATATGTATTTACCAAGAAGCGATAAAATATTCCAAGTCTTGAATAGAATCTGTTGCAAACTATACTCAAGTTCCTCTTTTGCAGATTTTGGAAAAATAAACAAAGCTGCAACACATCCAGTTCCTGAAGCAAGACATACACTTACTAAAGTAGGATATACTGCATTCCAACTTTGACTGGTTGGAACTTTGATGGCAAGAAGCACTTGGATAGCAAACATAAGGTTAGCAAATATGCCCATTGCAGTTAGTTCAGGCTCCAATCTTAGGAGTGCAATCAATAAAGAGAACACAAGAAACAGAAAATACAGAGCATATGCATTTCCCGAAGCAGCTGAAATACATATCAAGGAACAGCAACAAGAGATCAGTCCAGCAAATAATAAACTTAAACAACCTCTAAATACAGAACCCACATAAGGATAAGGACTTATGACAGCCTGTGCAAAAAAAACAAAGACAGCAATATAACAGACTACAAAGCCACGAAGCGTTTCAACGAAAACCAACGAACTCAAACCGGCAGTGGAAATAGAAACACGTAAAGCAAAATGTGTGTTTGTCGATAAGAGGAACTTTCGAACCTTTCTCCAGAGTTCATAAGTTCGATGTCTCAACCAAATAAAATTGGACATTGTCTGTCTCTCCTTCTTCCCATAAGAAACGTTGTACAATTTATTTTGCGAAGCAAGTTGATTACAAACTATTTGGTTNCAACAGACCCTGATGGAGAAAGTTGATTAGTGTCTTGTACCACGTTGTTGAGGTTTTCGATGAACTTCTTTGGAGTCNATATCNCAGAACCGCCTNTAATGACGTCGTGACCCGTACTCTTGGAAAGTTCATACGCTNAACGCATTTCAGAAGCAGTCNCACCACCAGCAACAAATATAATCNGCCGACGCTTTCTGTTGTTACTTCTCGAAACTCGCGCGATACGCTCACTTTCGTTGTCACTTCCGTTGACGGATTTGCTGTTTCCTCTTTCAGCGGAAGAATCTCTACTGGCACTTCTTCGTCTTCTAATACTGCCACTTCGTGACCTTCTCCGTACACTCCTACTGGATCTACCTCTTTCTTGCTCTTCGTCATCGCTGCTTGAAGTATCAGGTCCAAACTCTGTAACTNCAAAAGGATAGCTAGCCTTGGAGAGCCCTCTAACCAGTAGATCTTCCATAACCTCACCGACAACTGGAACATATCGGGATAAATCGTATTGATGTGAATGAGTACTACTCGCACGTCTACTTTTTTCATTCCTAAGTTTCTTGTTGCGATTCTTTTCCAAGGTTNCATTCNATTTGAATAAACCATCTNCAATACTATGTTTGTCTTCGGGAATGGCTGCTNGTTCAAGCAAGTCACGAAGGTCTTGATCCTGAATACAAAAATATGAATGCTCTCCCTTGAAGTGTAAAAAAAGGAGTGCTTACAGAAAGTTCTTGTGTAGCAATACATAATAATACCAAACGAAGTCGGTCTTCCATTGAAACGGCACCATCTCTGAGAATCGGAGATAAGCGCATACTAATATTCTTAATAGGTTTCCCATTTGCATCGACACCAGTCTAAATGAAGGATTCAGTAATAACTATAAAACTGACAAACATGTTTCTTACAGCCATATCTTGTTCACATAAACTTNTTCTTTCCAAATCCTTTTCATAAAAGCCTCGCATACACTCCTCCAAAATATTTGCATGGAGTGTAAATTTTGACAACCGTTCTTCATACGCTGGAAGGTCTTCAAGAGCAGATCTTNGCGATTGTAAGTCTTTCNCATCCTTTGTTCCTNGAACTTCCTTTGCTGTTTTGTCTTTTTGAACAAATTCTCTGAACGATTCAACCAGAATGCTGACGGCATCTGCAGCATGTTCATGTCGCAATCTATTCCAGACAGGGTCGCCCCATTCGTCCAACACAACTTCTTTGTAGGAGACAGAGCCTTGTAGATCTCTGCAACTATATGCATACTTCNTTCCATATGGATCAGTATCATCTNCAGGAAGAAGATCATTACACATTGCTTGATAAGTATACTCATGCAAAAGAGGCGCAACAACATCGACTGATCTATCAAGAATAAGAAGCGTTGTTGAGTATTTGTCACCTNTTGAGCTTGAACCCTGAACGCCGCCAGGAATTNTCTTCTCAAACTCATCAAGCTTTCCTCCCAGATTTGTGGCAATACTTTGTGCAATAGGTTGCGTGGCACTATATCGAATACGAGGTCGACAGTGAAGAACACTGCAAACCGATAATAGGGAACTTGCGATACTATCAATGCTGTCATTGACGACTTTTCGATTACCAGAAAATAGTTTCGAAACTCCCCATTCGTGTCCCAGAGAAAAAACTCGTTCTTCCACCGCTNAAAAGTCAATATTGAGTTCAGTGAAATTCNTTNGAGACTGAACAAAGCTGTTAGAATCTCGAATCNGATGCATAAGATCGTCTGGAACTCTAGAAGTTGTAAAAACATTTGCTGCTCCATAAAGAGGTACATTTTCTTCTCCATTGTTCTTACCACCACGTGTAGAGGAAGGAGATAAATCTGTTTTCNGTGCAAAAGCTGGATCAAAATCTGCAACCATTCGGCAAACAGAGTCGTGCGTTGGGGAAATAAAGTAAAGGGCAGTCNTCCTCGGAAGCCTTTGTCTCTTCGTCCCAAGAGACTCGACCAAAGTAACTCCTTCCGCAATAATATCTGCCATTCTACAACATGAAGATACAATCCGAATGCCACGGGAGTCAGCAACTNGCACTTTCCAGTTACCTTGTCTAGGCCCTGCTNTACGTATCNTACCATTCNAAATGCGTTCTTTTGCAAGAGTCCGTAAAAGAGATCCTTGCTCTGTATTTGAATCTNATACATCCACTTCGTCATTTCTTCCTGTGGCTGTCNCTTCAGCCAAATATGAAGCAGGTGAGCTTGGAGATAAAGGATATCCTGGAGCAAAACCTTCTTCTNAAAAGTGGTCATCCTGAGGCGAAGGCTGACTAGCATTTCCGTTAGTTTTAGTTTGTACACCATTCTCCGAAGGTGCCTTGGGACTTTTCNTTTTTCGATTTGTTCTTTTTCTCCACCACCAAGCAAAGACTCCCGCACCAATAAGCAGGGCTNCCCCGGCAACCGAACCAACAACAATGCCAGCTNTTGCACCACCACTCNGAGAACTAGTAGATGAAGTAGGAACTGATATGTCCTTTNCAGTCNATCCTGTTGCAACTGCATTCGAACCGAACACAGATTGAAGGGCTGAATTAAGAACACTTCCATTGTCAAATGCAGCTTTCNCAGAATTCGCTNTGGATTGAGAAGGTGCAGTAACTTGCAGCAATAGTGAGGCATCTGCGACACCTTTTNCACTGCGAAACCAATAATTGTAAAAATTGCTTCCTTCTNGGAAAAATATTCTAACTGCCTTAGGACTTGAAAGATTAGCAAATGGTGTCGAACCGGCACGCGCAAAGGTTGTATTAATACCAGAAGCTCCTNTCTGACTCGACAAATCCTTATTCNAAGCTGTTCTGAAAGCTGAGTTATTCTGTGGAGAATTAAAACTTTGCGCAGTAACACCTGCTNAGTCAGCTTCAACATTCNCAGCAAATTGACCTGGCTCAGGAGCTATATAAAAAAACAGAAGCTAGGTTAAAGCGGTAAATAGAAAAAACCAGAATCTTACTTGGTACAATCTGCGTTGGTATTGGTGTCGCCTNCGAAGCAATAAGTAAAGACACAAAAATAAACAAGAATATCACGTACCGTTGGAGTCGGACTTGGAGATAGCGAAGGTGATGGTGTTGGAGACGGCGTAGGAGACCTTGTTGGACTCGGAGTTGGAGAAGGTGACGGTGTTGGAGACGCTGTAGGCGTAGGAGACGTTGTAGGACTCGGAGTTGGTGTAGGAGTTGGAGGAGGCGTTTTCGTCNCCGGTACTGGAGTTGGTGTAGGAGTTGGAGAAGGCGTTTTCGTCNCCGGTACTGGAGTTGGTGTAGAAGTAGGAGACTTTGCTGGAGTAGGAGAAGGCGTTTTCGTCNCCAATACTGGAGTTGGTGTAGAAGTAGGAGACTTTGCTGGAGTAGGAGAAGGCGTTTTCGTCNCCAATACTGGAGTTGGTGTAGAAGTAGGAGACTTTGCTGGAGTAGGAGAAGGCGTTTTCGTCNCCAATACTGGAGTTGGTGTAGAAGTAGGAGACTTTGCTGGAGTAGGAGAAGGCGTTTTCGTCNCCAATACTGGAGTTGGTGTAGAAGTAGGAGACTTTGCTGGAGTAGGAGAAGGCGTTTTCGTCNCCGGTACTGGAGTTGGTGTAGGAGTTGGAGACTTTGCTGGAGTAGGAGAAGGTGTTCTTGTCGTCNCGGGATCCGGAGCTGGGGTTCTTGTTGGAGAAGGAGTCGGAGACTTTGTCGGAGTTGGCGTAGGTACAGGTGTTGGAGAAGGAGTAGGCGTCCTTGTTGGTGTTGGAGAAGGAGTCTTTGTTGGAGTGGGAGAACTCGTCGGCGTCGGATCAGGAGTAGAAGACTTTGTGGGTGACGGACTAGGAGTGGCACTTGGCGTTGGAGAAGAAGTTGGAGACTTCGTAGGAGTAGGAGTCTTTGTAGCTGTTGGATCCGCCGTTGGAGTTGGTGACGCGGCTGCTCCACTTNAGGTGGTAGAAGGCACCGAAGTGGCCGAAACCGCCTTACCGGTACTTCCAGAACTGCGCGGGCTCNGGGCTCCTNACAGAGTGGCACTTGGAGTTTGTGTAGGTTCAGGTGCTTCTGTGGGATGTGGTGCCTCTGTAGGATCAGGTGCTTCTGTAGGATCGGGAGAGGAAAAACCTGTCGATAGTAGGGAAGGAAACACACTGAACACGCCTGAAGAAGAGAAGCTCGACGGTATCGCAGAAGAAGCACTTGTAGCTGAAGCTGA